ATTTTATAAAGATAATAATTAAGTATTCTGTTAGAACTCAATGATTATCCTAATTATATTTTAGATTTTTTATATTTAAAATGAGATGTTTATCATGTATTTGATTGTGTTTATCTGCAGTTAGGGATGAAATCAGATAGGGATGAACGAGTTTAAGAGTTTTTAAGAGTTCTTAAGAGTTTTAACCAAATGCTTTATAATATAGTATAGATATAGATATTAAGTTATTAAAGTAATTAACTCGTTCATCCCTAAAGATAAAAATTTAAATCAAGTAGACATTTGAATATACAAATTGAATTAAATTATAATATTTGGTTTTTAAAAAATAAAGAAATCATTTTTAAAAGTTAAAGTGAAATACAAGGACTTCAAGGGATATTATAATCATTTTGTTTTCTTCATGTGAGAAACCACTCCCCCACCGCCTGATATTCAGTCCCGCAGCCGACTACTGCAATATATATTGTATATATCTATACACGATAAAGGATACCTTCATTCAACCATTCATTCTCTCGGCAGACAGAGCTATAGGGGTGGTTAGGTGGTACGTGTAACCGTATTATTCCTCCGTGGTAAGGTAAAAAAATTAAATTCGTAAAAAAAGTACAACCGTTGTCCGTGATTCTCTCTCTTTCTTTCCAACATGGCTGATGGCTCCATCACCATGATAATGTGTATTTACGTAAATGAAACGAGATAATTTAAGATACGTGATTTTTATCCTTTGTCATGATATATCTTCTCTTTTGTTACAGCCGACTTATGCACACTTGCAAATATCAGAGGAGCCGTTCAGTCCAATTCAGGGACATTTTTGCACATAACGTATAAAGATTTAAATCAAGAATATATTTCATCAAGAATGGGTGTTTTGACGTTGTTTGAGGTGGCTGCGATGCCAATAGTGCAGATGCTAATCGTGAGCGTGGTAGGGGCCGTCATGGCTACAGAACATTTCAATCTGCTTTCCAACGACACCCGCAAAGCCCTTAACAAGGTATCTACAATCTTTTTTATTAAGTAATTCGTTATTGTATCTTGTCAAGTTGTTAGATCTTTATATCGACTAAACTCTGACCATTTTTTCCTCTCTCTATATATTTATACCTCCATACTCTACTTGTGGGCTTTTTGGAGAGTAATGTTAGGAGTAACCAATCATAAGTAGAAATATGCGCATATGTATATATAGTAGTCTAATCAAATGAGAACTAATTAGTTTGTGGTAACCTTAAATGATTCATTAGTGTTCAAGGGTTGATCCTAAGTGGGTTTATTTTCCATGAGGTTCCTAGGTGGGAGAAGGTTTCTATATGTTCCAACAAGTAATCTGATAAGATCAGGTTACATATATTTTCATATGATATCAGAGTCAAAGTCTATTATTTAATGACAATATGTAACCAGTCAGTCAGGTCTTTCTTGACACTAGGTTGATTTTGAATTACTATATGCAGATTGTGTTCGTGGCCTTTACCCCGTCTCTCATTTTCGCATGTCTTGCAGAGAGTGTCACCTTTCACGACATCGTCTCATGGTAAGGATGTCTTCTGTTTTTGTACATACAATTATATATATATATTAAGCAAAAGTTAAGGGCTGTATCGGTTTGGATCTGGCAAGGTAAGGGCTGATTTAGGATCAACGGTTTAGACGGTATTTGTGTTGATCCAGTCCGGTACGGTTCAGACCAAATCTGATATTTATACAGTGCTTAATTTGGTGTTGTAGGTGGTTTATGCCTGTGAATATTGGGATAACATTTTTGTGTGGAGGGACATTGGGGTGGATAGCAGTGAAACTGATCCGACCAGAGGCACATATAGAGGGCCTTATCATAGCAATGTGTGCAACAGGTAATTAACTTATCAAATATGAACCACAAAAAGTGGTGTCTGATTGGTTTGAGCTTGGCTCCAAAGGTCAAAAGTACCAGGAAATCCTGGGTTCAAATCCAAGGAGTAATAAAAATCCCCTTGTGGTCACGGAGGTTCAAATGCGGTGACTCCGAGCTATCTGCAAAGCATGTGGTCGTCCTGTGATTAGTCGGCTCGCATAGTCAGTATTTGTTTCTTGGAACTAATTTCCTCTTTGTTTTTTCATGTTCATTCGATTAAAGGGAACTTGGGAAACATTCTTCTCATAATCGTTCCTGCAATTTGCACTCAGAGCGGCAGCCCTTTCGGAGATCATGATGTTTGTAAAGCTAATGGACTCTCGTATTCATCATTTTCCATGGCGGTAAGCTGATTCTTATCTCACTACAATAAAATCGGGTTCACATAATGCAAAAAAATGTTTTAATAGCTTGTTTTTATAGGGTTTTAAGTTTATAGAATCAAACACTTGTGCGTCCTATGTAAAACTGTTACAATAAGTTTGTAAGTCGTTTTTGGAGGTATAACATGTAGTTTAACAAAAATTTATTAAATTTATATTTTATTTGTATTTAAGTAATTCAATAAACTAATTAATATACAAAAAATATATTATAATACTTACATAAAACGTTCTTTAAATTTTCATCTAATAAAACCCGATTTTATTGTAGTCTCTTATCTCCCATATGAAAAACTCATAAAGATGGTTTGATTTGCTACTCGCCATTACCGTAATTTAATACTTGAATTTGTGCAGTTGGGGTGTTTTTATATATGGACATATACGTATCAATTGATAAGAAACTCGTCTCTGAAGTACAACGCAATGAAAGAGGCCGAGAATTTGACAAAGGAACCAAACAAGAACTTGGATGCAAATGAAAAGAGTCGCCTTCTAAATAAAGAAGGTCAAGACCAAAGTGGTGTAATCGTGCCAGTATCATACGCGACGAGTATGGACCCAGAAAACCAAACTGTAAGTCCATATAGTTGAGCCCTACAAAGGTCATGTTTGAGCTGGTTGTATGTACAGTTCAATCAATAATACTGTTGTTGGTTCAACCAATAATACTCTGTTGGTTGAACTGTAGATGCAAGCAAAGCAAAGGGGATACCATCTGTCGGTCTACAAAAGACCATGTTTATATTTGAGCTTGCAGAAATAAAAGCAATCTTATCAACCATCTATTCGTAGATGGTCTATGAAGAATCAACAAGCAAGGAGAGCGATGTAGGGTCTTCTTGGAGTACACTAAAGGAAAATCTACAAAAAATATTGGATGAGCTATTAGCGCCTCCAACCATGGGTGCCGTAAGTTTAATTTAACTTCAATTTTTATCAGTTATAAATCCCTTAATTACCCATTTATATTTTCGTCGATGCAAAACCATATCAATATATCAAGATTCACTTGTAGCTACAAATCATCAGATTGCAGGATTCATTTTTGGCACAGTTCCGTGGCTGAAAAGCCTTATTATTGGCGATGATGCTCCATTGCGGGTGATCCAAGACTCTATCACATTACTCGGGTAACACTTTTCATCTTTTAACCCTATAATTCGAATGTTGGTGCATCAAAAGTGATGTAGCATAAAGGCTATGCCTAATTCTGTTGATTTTATGAATACCAAGTAAAAAATCTCTTCTAAAACTTATTGATTCCAAGAATATCAAGTTTTGGGATTAACTCAAGAATTTGGATGAGAAGGGAAAAGTGTTTCGTTCATCGCTGACCATCCAAATACACAACCATCAATTATAAAGGGATTCCAAAAATAACGTGCGTGGAAAAGGTTAAGGGCCAAACATGAAAGAGAAAATGGAAAATGAGAAAAATGGCATAAAAAATATAAAAATATCTTAAAACATGCCAAAAACGACACCTTTTTGGGCTCAAAATCCGTAAGGCCCTCCCCTTAAGGCTCCAAAAGGCGTGCTCCTCATTCTTAGCTTCGTTTCGGCAATCGCCATATCGTGAGCCTTGAATAGAGACATGTGGCAAAAGTTATGTCCGTTTATGGACAACACCTATTGGCCCGATTATAAGTTTCTAGGAACATTAGAGTCCAGTCCTTCATGCTCAGGCCTGCACCAAAAGCTATAGTTATTTCAAAAGAAGAATATTTTAAGTTCTAGGGAAAATTCGTGTCGAATTTTTATGCAATTTTTTGGTTGAAATTACAATATTTTTATGAACCTTTTGGCACTCGAGGCATTTCCAATATAATAACTTATAATTCACACTCACAAACGGATATTTGATGGGTTGGGATATCATATATTATTCACTTAATTTCATAGTAACCTAATAAATAACGATTTTTTTTAGTTTAAGGTCGATATTGATATATTTTTCATATGTTTTCTTGTGGTTCTTCAGTTCTCTAATTTTTTGGGTTCGTCCTTCAACCGACCCCTAAACATACATACATACACACACACATATGGAATAGTTCAAATAAGAACACCTTCATTTTACGAGAACGCAAGAACACCCTTTTACTATAGACAATCACATATGATACTATTATTCCATCACATATGATACACATGTGATACTAAATTAGAGAAACAGACGATTTTTGATGCGATCTTGGTTATGGGTCCAGTCGCCCTTACACCATTAAGTCCCCTCACAAGTATTATCACATGTGATAAGATTGTTGTTGATGTGATACTATAATTCATCAAGACCATCACATGTGGTGCTAAATCATAGACGCAGACAACCTTTGACGCCGCCTAAGTTGTAGAACACGTCGTCCACACATCACAGGGTCACTTCACGCGTATTATCACATGTGATAAAGGTGTTATCGCTTTCTTGTAAAATGGAGGTGTTCTCATTTGAACCTCCACCTGTACATATATATATATATATATACATATACATACACATACACACACACATATATATATATATATATATATATATTATCTTCTTATCAACCTTTTTTTAATAATCATTCAGGGATGGAACTATACCCTGCATCACCCTTATACTAGGAGGCAATCTGATTCAAGGTAAAGAAACAAATGGAAAAAAAAAAGTTGTATATTGTTTGTAGATCAGAAATTCTTAGTTGATCCTTTTATTTCTCGTACAGGTTTGCGAAACGCAACCATAAGACCGCTTATCATCATCACGATCATCGTAGTACGATACGTGATCCTTCCCGTAATCGGAATCGGAGTTGTTAAGGCAGCTGGGGCTCTGGGAATACTTCCATCAGATCCTCTCTTTAGTTTTGTGCTAATGATCCAGTTCATTGTGCCTCCTGCCATGAATATAAGTAAGCATTGCTTCACTTCATGATACAACAAACTACTTCACATTTCACATATATATCTTGACATTTAAAAACACTCATTTTTTTTTAAAACTAGAAAGGTACCCGTGCAATGCAGCAAATAAATCAAACATGAAGCTTTAATAAGTTGTAATTATGCACAATTTATTTGTAATATTGAATTTTATGTAATATGCATCAATAAACAGTACTTCATGCATAAAAAATAGTTTTTAAGAGTTTTTATCAAATGCTTTATAATACAGTATAAACATCAGATATTGTAATTTAACGATTTGGTTATAACTAATTAAAATGCAGGTACAATGACACAATTATTCAACGTTGGACAAGCAGAGTGTTCAGTGCTTACTATGTGGACTTATATAGCTGCAATATTTGCACTTACAGGATGGTCAACGGTCTTCATGTGGATCTTGACTTGAAACTTCCATTTTTTGGCCTTTTCACAAATTATATACTCTTTCCTTATTCTTTTTCTTCAATTCAACATTTTTTAGTAGCTTTTTAATCATTAAAAACCATTACTTCAAATTAAACATTTTTTTTATTAAGTTGGATATTCAACCCGCTATGCGAGCCGATTAATCTCAGAGCGACCTGCTTTGTAGATAGCCCGGAGTCACTGTATTTGAATCTCCGTGGCACAAGGGAATTTTTATTCCTCCTTGGATTTAAACCTGGGACCTCCTGGTATTTTTGGCCTTTGAAGCTAAACTCAAACCAATCAGGCACCACCCTTATGGTCTACTTTTTTTTAGATGTTTAATTGATAGTAAAATATTCTCGGTATATATGTGTTAGGTCTAAAATTACACGTATTTGAGATAGGAAGAGTAGCGTTTAGTCGAGATAGCTCACACGTTTAGAATCTTTTGTATAAATACTTCTTTGTTTAGTGTTATTTTATAAAATAGTATGTATAGGAGATGGTTTGATAATAACATAGAAAAAATTGTTGGATCATGATATCTTGATCATCTTACAATGAAATTGACTAGGGGGCTGTTTACCAAATACTTACTTGGGTAAGCGCTTACCAAGTTACATTACCTTATCGGATGAATAATGAAAGGAACATGAATCTTATCCAATAAGAACGAGGCATAGAGTCTTACCCAGTAAGTGAGGGCAATGACTCTTGCCACCATCATTTACTTACCCTTTAGATAAACCCTTTTGTAGGCTCTTCTTTTATATATGTCAAAATCAAAACCTATATTTGTAATATTCATGAGGTATTAATTTGACCGTAAAGGGTTTTGTTTAACAACACCTTATATAACTTTGTATATTCGTATTCAATCTAAGAACAGAACTGTAAAAGACATTGATATGAGAGAGAAATGATGATGCAAGATATAATGCATCTTAGACAAAATTAAGTGGAAACTCATGCAAGTATACATTATAAACACCACATTTTTAACAAGTAATATAACGATAAAATACCAGATATGGTCCACAATGATCAAGTAGAACTTCAAACAGTAAATTCGATAAGCAGTTTGGAATGCTTTGGTTTTGGTTTTCGATTAGATAACAACAAATAGCAAGGGTGCAAAGAACACTCGAGTCAACTAGAATATAATGTGGCATACTCATGGCTACAACATCAATTAATATCAAACCAATGACTAGCTTGTAAGAGAGATGTTTCCAAATTAAGAAAGACGCGTATCGGTAAACTTGTTCTCATATTCTATACAAAACTGAAATTTAGGCATTATACAATGTGTTATCTCTTTAAGCTAAACGAGTCAAATGCAAATTCCTTTCTATATTGACCACTCTTCCGTGCATTCTTTCTATATCACCCAAATTGATGTGTTCTTGGTATCTCTCTCATTCATGAGTTTAACACACTTTAACATTATGCTAGTTATAAACGTTGCAAGAAGATGTTATTATCATCAATATGACTCATGGATTAACCAGTTAATGTCAGGAAAATGAGGCATTCCGATGTTGCACCATTGATACTCTTTTAGACCAATTTTTCGGTCATCGACACATAAGTTATCAAAATATATACAAATCTAATAGTGAGTCCCAATATCAAACAACAATTCAAGATTAATTCATAGAATAGATTGAGAGATGAAGAAGAACATGAAGTTGATCAACTGGCAGCTTTTCTTATTCAATGAAAACTGTAAACTACAAACACTCTCTTAATCAGACGACTCTCATGTGATGAATTACAAGCATGAACAACTTCAAAATTCTAGCCCATGTCACCTATTTATAAGAGACATTTACATGTAAAGCTCATTGCCCTTAGTCCAATTACATTGAATATTACAATACAATACAAATAAAGGACTTTATAAAACTTTCAAACATTTAGGACTATTTTGGTCCTAACAATCTACCCCCAAAGTTTTATAAAACAAACATCTTTTGAAACTTCAAGTTTCAACAGATAAAGCTCTTACTGATTGCACAAAGTACAGCTAAAACTGCAGACGACTCAACACAGTCTGTATTGCCGGCGTGCAAGCAACTAATTCATCCAACCTTGTGGATAGAAAATAGTGTGAATTTCGTGACACTTCAGTGCAAATAGTCTTATGACAAAGAATCTTTTAGTGAACCACGAGTTGAATAGGCATTCAGCTTAAGATCTTGATCTTGATAAGCTCACAAATTGGGGTAACAACATTTGCTTGAAGAACCAAAGCAAACACCTTTGACTTTATAGACTTGGAGAGAAGAATCAACAATAAGCACATAGCTTCAAGAATAGTGAGTCAACCAAACAGATAAGCCGATTTCCTTTAACCTTTCAGAAAACTGAATAACACAATCAGATCCAAATATTTCAGCCAGAAGAATGATATAAGCACTCAGAACTCTTAGATCACAACCATAACATCAGAATAATGATGGTAGACTATCAAAGCTCTAATTGAACCAATTAACGTCAGGAAAATGAGGAATTCCAATGTTGCATCATTGATATACTTTTAGACCAATTTTTCGGTCATCGACAAGAAAGATAATTACTATATCAATAAACAAGAAAGCTAAAAATAAATAAATAAAAAATCAATTCACTAAATTGGGGAAGGAAAATGATGAAGTCTAAAAATAATTGTTTCGGCTATGATTTAGGAGTCGTCCACCAAACACTTACCCGGGTAAGCGTTTACCGAGTCACATCACCTAACCGGATGAATATGGCAAGAATCAAGAATCTTACCCAGTAAGAGGGAGGCAAGGGCCGAGAGTCTTACTCAGTAAGTGAGGGCGAAGGCTCCTACTACGGTTAGTGCTTACTGGATAAATCGTTGCATACAATGACATTTTTTTTTTACTAAAACCGTACTTGGTAAGTAAGTGATAGTGTTCAATTTTACCAGTAAGCGCTTACCAGGTAAATCGCTGTATACAATGCCGTTTTTGTTGACTAAAATCTTACCCGGTAAGTAAGTGGTAGTGTTGAATTTTACCAGTAAGCGCTTACGAGGTAAGTGTTTGGTAAACGACCCCTTAATGAATCTATTCCTATTATTAGATGACGTATCGGGATACGAAAGATTCTTGGAATTTTTATTGGTAGAGCAGGAAAGATGTTTGACACAAACAATTGTGTACAACTATAAAAAGTTTGAAGACAAACATATTGTAACAACCCACACTTTTCACATACAAACAATCCACATTAAATTACCCATAACACATAATGTAATATTGTTTACAAAATACGGACTAACAAAAACTTTCTTCAATACATTTGTGAACAACTAAATTTTATCATTTCTAAACCTTCCCCTTGCCTTTATCCTGCGAGGTATGTTGACCTGCAAAACCGGTT